GACACGACTCAGGGGCAGTAATGGTTGTACACACTGTGCATGACCTTACATAATCTGTTCTACTCTAAACAGAAATCACATAGATCTAAATGCTGCAATCTCTAAAATACATATAAAATTAGCCCCATATCTGTTACATTTCCAAACAGAACAACACAGAGGAAAAGGACCTCAGTAAGGTATTATATAATTGCTGTGGAGGGAAAGATATGTTAAAGGGTTTAATTATGGATCAGGCTAAATGGGTCACTGATTCTTTCTTTGCCTTCTCTGCATACAATGTCACTGAACTTCTCAAAGCCACATACTGTATAATATTTCATACAGGGGAGGGAGGGGGGGGGGGGGGGGGTCATAGAGCCCCAGTGAAATATTACTGATAAATCCTTGTCTGGCGATGGAGATTACATAGACTGACCTGAAAATAGTATGTTTGCTATCAGTTGTTTAGGTCAAACAGGATTGCAAACCGATCATATTTTTTTCGTGATTCAGTTTAAATTATTCTTACAAGTCACTCATGCACTGAATTTTTGTAATGGTTTCTCACACCGAAATAGTAATACACGCTTTATAAAACAGAAAACAAAAAAGAGCGCTGGATGAGAAATATATTTACTCTATACATTTCTGACAGTATTTATACACTGTCCATTGTAGGAAACAACACTTGCAAATGTCTCATTTCGTTCACCAGTGATGACATAATTCTTTATTGCACGCACCACTCTCTACAGCAGGAATATACACTCACCGGCCACTTTATTGGGTACACCTGTCCAACTGCTCGTTAACACTTAATTTCTAAGCAGCCAATCACATGGCGGCAACTCAGTGCATTTAGGCATGTAGACATGGTCAAGACAATCTCCTGCAGTTCAAACTGAGCATCAGTATGGGGAAGAAAGGTGATTTGAGTGACTTTGAACGTGGCATGATTGTTGGTGCCAGAAGGGCTGGTCTGAGTATTTCAGAAAGTTTCAGGTAAAACTCCTAAGCGGTGACCAGCCGGTAACAAAAAGTAGACGAATGAGAACGTCCTCGTCTCAGTTCTCGCGCATGCGCCCATAAGGAAGTAATGGAATAGTGGAATAAAGTCGTTATTTATGTTTTTTTCGCACAAAAAGTAGTCTCGTCGCTTGATAAACTTATAATTGAGCCGCTGTAGGCACATGGAATATTTAAACCTTTTCTTTAATGACTTTATGGGCCGTCAAGAGCCAGTCCCTTAGGCAGTCTATCTAGGACTGATCCAGCTCTCAGATTCAATCAAAAATATCTTTATTTGTGTTCCGAAGATGAACGACGGTCTTACGGGGTTGGTACAGCATGGGGGTGAGTAATGACTTAATTTTCATTTTTGGGTGAACTAACCCTTTAAATGTGTTTTTAAACTACTCTTTAAATGTATGTTCATTTACAACAACAGTAACATCTGTTTGTTTTTTTGTTTTTGTTTTTTTATGTAACAACCACATTTTTATTTGGTAAAAAGTAATATTCTGACTGTTTGAGTTGTATTCAAATTAACCATTGGTCATCCAGTATCATGCATTTAGATCATGATAACCACAAATAAAACCAGGCATAGCCTATAACTTAGCTCCTCACTATCATGGCATAACTTTTTAGTTTCTGTAGTTTTTGTATGAAAAACAATAGCCTAACAGTTAAATACATTATTAAATAGGTATCTAAACACAGCGAATCCAGCATGTCCGTGCAGCTCACCGTAACTTGCATTAACGGAGATTACAATCGAGCTGCTATTAGCATGATTAGCTGCTATTTAAAAAATGGTTTCTATTCATCTTGTTGGTCACGGTAACCCCGCCCCCAGCCACTAACGTAGGCGGTTCTTACTTCCAGACCATGATTTGGTGCTACTTAAGAACCACTTTTACTGGTTCGGAGCTAGTGCTTTGGTGGTTGAAAAACACCAATTTGAAACTAGGCTAAGGCTCCGAACCAGCATCAGCTGTGCTTTGGTGGAAAAGGGGTACAGTCAACTGACTTGAACCCCATAGAAAATCTATGGTGGGATTTGAAGGCGGTGGTTGCAGAACACAAACCAAAAAAATATTACTGAACTGGAGGTCATTGCTCATGCAAACTAGGCTAAAATTTCTCTGAAACGCTGCAAGCTGGTGTCTGGTTCACATCTTGTTTGCAGCAGGTCATAACAGCAAAAGGGTGTTCTACTAAAGGGTGTTCTACTCCACATGCTTGCCATGAAGGGGTTGAATAATTTTAACACTACAAAAGTCATTAAAAGAAGTCATTTTGTTTGATTTGTTCATGGCAAACAGCAATGTGGGTTGAATAATTTTGATTACAACTGAATAGTAAAGTTAGTCTTTCTGCAACATTGCATGAGATATTCTCAACAAAAATCTAAGCTTTTAAATATTCAATCAACAACTGATCTTGCTGTCTGTTAATTTTCAACATGACCAATGGGCATTCATAAAATGAAATGAAGGGAATAATGTTGTCAGCATGTTCATAAAATAATGAACTGATATAGCCTAAAAAACAGGATATTTGCAACAAGGACCATTTGAAAGTGAAAACTCTTGATAAGGAGATTGGTTGATGAAATGGAGTATTGCTTTCTCTTGCATTTTTATTGTCTGATAGATGAATTAAACTAAATTATAAGGCGTTGGGGGAAAATAAAGTAAACCTGAATACAATTATCTTTATAAAGTCCATTTAGGCCATTGAGCTTATACCCCCTGATTAAAATATTCAGTGTGTCTTGATGTAAAAAATAAAAAATAAGGGTTTTTACTCAAAATCTTACAGTTTTAGCTTGTTGTCACTAGTTGCACCTGAGTTAGCAGATAAGTTTGCTTTTTGTTGCATTTAACGTCATTAAGGCATAGGCTATGTGTCATTTCAGACATCTGGGACATTTAAGTGTGATAACCGCAAGAGCTGCTTCATGTCAAGACAATGAAAAACTTTGTGACTATGAAAAACCTTCTTGAGGGACAGATATCATAAGATGTCATAACTGCATTGTATGAAAATACGGTTGCATAGTGCAATAATATGTTACAGTGAGAATGCATTATGTTAAATACTTTCTGTTGAGCATGTATGATACAAATACAGGGCCCCCATAGTAACGTCTGGGACACCAAGTCACACCTAAAAATGTGTGAATGGCATCGCATTAGTCAACCAAGTGACATTTATTTTAAAGAAAGACATGTGCAAACAGACTTAAAATAAAGCAATTGACAAAAAAAAAAAGTGTTAACAGACATGCTGTTAAAATTAAGATTACAAAATTCCTGTCATGTAGCCTACATCATGCTCAGCTCTGAATTTATTTAGCTAGAAATTGTGATTGTGCAATGTAAAAAAAATATATGATTAATAAGTTAGAACAATGTTTTTACATTGCTTTAACTCATCAAAATAAGTTAAGGAAAGTTTTTTATACGTTTTTAGGAAATGTAAACTTTTTTATAACTTATACAAGATTTAACAATTTTTTTAAGTCAATGGAATGCAAATTAATTTGAAAGTTACTTAAACATCCAGGTTGATTTAACATTTTAAGGCAGCAAAATCTTTATCAAACAACCTTAAAAAAAAACCTTATCCGATATTTAAAAGGAACAACTGGCAAAATCATGGAAAAGTCATGGAAACGTATTGTGGGAATCCTAACATGATGAACTCCACCTGTGGTCACTAAAGTTCACATGAGTGAACTGAGGAAATGACTCCATGCAGCCTCACCACAGATCACATTGACAACAGTTAAAATGTAATTGCATAAAATGGCTGAGAAAAGTGAAGATAGTTTTGATTAAAACTCTAGCATTGTTTGTTTGCAGATGCCAGTTTGTTATGTTATCTAAGACATCTGTGTCTTAAGTAATGTGAAACATTTTGTTATTTTGAATACAATTAGTGCAAACATAGTAAACAAGAGGGGAATCAGCAACACCACACAATGGCAGATCTGTCAAATGTTTTTTGTTGTCTAATATCCCACGTGGGAAAAGAACAACGAATAGCAATTCAATTATCGGGTCAGTTAGCCTAATGATGAGACAGCCCGGATAAATGTGTGATAAAAGTGGAATAATATGAAGAAATGTAAATATAAAATAATTTACTACGATGCACAAACCATACTCAGATCACTTTCTGGTCAGTATTTTAAAAATCACTCTTACTTTGAGTCTTACCAGGTCACTAGCGTTTTTAGCAAGCTCATCCTCACTGGATGCTGCCGATTCCACCACCAGCTTCTCGAAGCACGTCGAGCCCAAGGACGAGCTCTTCTGCTGGGACATCGCCAGCTGAGCCACCAGCAGCTTCGGGCTCCCGTGCGCGGATACGGAAATCTCCGGTTTACTGATTGATGCTCCATCAGTTACGGCCAGCGGTGAGATCCCGAGCCCTTTACTGGCGCTGGAGTCCGGCTCCTCGCACAGGGTACTGTCGCATACTAAAGACGGCGGAGTTGAGGACAAATTGGGCTGCGAGGACGAGAAGACCCGGTCCAGGACCTGTTTTTTCTTTCTTTTAAACATCCATAACCCGCTTTCTTTTTTACTATCCCCGCTGCGTCGTCGTTCGGACCCCAGTTTGGGGCTCAAAAACGGTTTGGTCTTCTCTTGGAAATTCCTCCACATTCTTCTCTGGTAGGACGCTGATTGCGGGTCCTTGTCGCTCTCATCCGTGTGTTTCTCCTCCATAGTCCCCGTCCAGCAGCAGCAGCAGCAGGCTTTCAGCGCGCGGAGCGCCAGTGACACTGAAGCGCGCGGGCGAGGGCGCAGCAGCGCGTGCTCTTGATCGTAAATGACACTCAGGCACTTACAACACATTCACTTTATTTTGGTCAATATGCTACTAGTAACATTATTCAGGGGGTCTTTTACAGCACCTTAACATTGGAGTCTAAACTAAAAATAAATTAATTAAAAAAGCCCAATAGGAGAAAACACGTTCAAATTTGAACAAGGTATGGTTGCCCTAAAAGGGTTACCTGTGAAATAAACGTGAGTGTGGAATGCGTCTGATTCACTCTTTAATGACTTAATGATTTGACAGTAACTTGTGAAAAAGCCATACACGAATACATAATTGCAGAATAGAAAGATACGCCTCCCTCTGGTGAATGTCCGTAATTATAAGGATTTGGTGAGTGCATATTTTACTGCACATCATGTCATTATACTACATCATGTTTGCAAGCCATTTGAGCTATTTAAATTGTGTTTGTTACTGTGAAACGTGCTGATAATAATACAGGTGCACACCAGATAGAAGAAAGCATGATGATTTTAGGGCAGAGTTAATCATTTAACAGGTTCAGGTTTTGTGGTAGGCCTATTTTTAGATTATTGTTAAAAGTAGGATACTAACATAGCTATGCAGTGTAAACAGCCATGCTACTGATTTAAAAGTGAAGGCAAAGCCAAGATAATACCACCCACAATAAAACCCACTCATGTGTCATTTTAAAGATTGTAGATTTTGATGAATATTTAATTAGTTTAGTTGCTGTAAAGGATATTGTGTGTAGGTGTGTGTGTGTGTGTGTGTGTGTTATTATTATTTTACACACAGCTAAAACTATTCATTAAGATAAAAATCCCCTAATGAAACCATCTCCACTTAGCTTTGAAGGGTGCTGAGTACATTTATTATTCTATAATAGATGTGTTTCAAATCACAGAAGTGAAATCATTACTGGTCAGAAAAGCTCATGAGTGTTAATGAGTAGGCTACACTGAGATGTCTGGGTCTGGCCAATATCTCAAAAATTAATTATGCTTCTTGTCAAATATATGTGATAAACCGTTTCAAGCCCATCATCCTAAAGCTGTTATTCTTCGCAGTATACAATATTTAGACAAGTTAATAAAATACTGTATTCACAAATTGTCTGGATTATCTTGCCAAATGATACACCCCTGTCAGAACACGCCATTTGGTAGCTAAGAGATCAGACTAAACAAACCAACAAACATACCCAGACTACAGGGAAACAGGGTAAGTTAAGATCTCAACTTTACTTTGCAATATTTATAGTTTTATATGTGTAACTCACACCCACATACATACATATGTTAACTGGACCCAAATTTTAACTGCAATAAAGTATCACGTCTTTCTTCATGTGGTCATTGTGGCTATGATGAATGCCTATTAAAACTGTAAGTGCTCAATCAAAGGGATTCATCTCTGTTAAGAATGAATGAAGGTAAGGTATTCATCATTCATTTATCAAGGTGAATCAGATAATCAATAGGTGATGTAGTTTCCTGGAGCCCTTGAGTTATTCTCACTATAATGCAATGTAGGAAAAAACCACAAGGAGAACACCTCTCATATTGCTTCAAAGGCATTTGATTCAGCTTCATTTTGACAATATGGCTCTGTCCTGTCGTTTCTTTTACATTCTCAGAATCTATTTACTAATTACCTGTGATGGACTGGCCGTCTGTACAGTGTGTCCCGAGACGCTGTATCCCCAGCAGAGGATAACAAAAATAAGTTATAGACAAATTGTGCCTTTTGCCAGATTACTTTACTTTACAAATCGGTGGGTTTGGCTGTTAATGATCAAAGGCAATTAAAAAAAAAGATGAGGCTCTTACAAAAGAGTTCTAGTTATTTAATTGTGTTTTGAGCCAGACATATGGAGAGCCGCATGACCGATCAGGAACGCACTTTAAGAACTCTACTAGAAGAAGCCGTGAAGATCAGGGACGATGTGGTGACTGGTATACGTGCATCGCAGGGTTCAGTCCTGATGGAGTCGACTGCTAGAAAACTACTGGAGAACCATATTCAGAACATAACTCATATTGTCAAACAGCTCAGCACAGACATCCAGGTACGAAAATAAGTTTTACAGTGACATATATTATATTTTATTATATTATATTATATTATATTATATTATATTATATTGAGAATTATTTTGAAATTAATCTTGTGTATGAGTGAATAAATGTCTATCAGTCTATTTTAAGTCCCCTGATGTTTTCCTTCTCAGAAAGGTCCAGGATAATCACACTGATGGATTGTTAGATCTAATCAATGCATCTCAAAGTATTACATTTATTTTTAATGTGAAAGCAAAAATTTAACAGTACTTGATGAGCGAGGTACAGTTTCAGAGAACATGCCAGCAGAGCCATTACCTAATGAGATGTATTATGCAGAATATGTGCATAAAAAATGAATGAATCAAATAAATCAAAGCCCATCAGTCACTACAGCCAGAATGAGGATTTTTTTAATTTTATTTTTTGTCCCTGAAGAGTGATGATGTAACCAGGCTTAATTAGCTATAGAAAGACATTAGGAATCTCTGGTCTAATGTTGTATGCTAAACCACTTATCCCTCTAATATTACAAAAAGTGAATATACTCATGGTATATTTTTCAATTCAGAAACTACGGGTGGGAAAAAAACATCCATCATAATTACTCCAGCTTTATTATCACGAAATGCTCTGAGACATGAAGGTTGAGATTGAGAATCCAAATGCAGTTTTATTGAAAGGGTAATCCACAATCGTGGTTGAAAACAGGCAAAGGTCATAAACACCAACAAACAAACACAACAAGGCAGGGAACACCGGAAAAAAGAGTAATCCACGTAACAGGCAAGACATCCAAAAACCAAGAGACATAAAACCAGAGGGAATGCTCAGAATTGCACTGTAACACCAAACAAGACTTTGCAATAATGAATGAGAAAACCAGGCTAGGTATATGGGGGGCTAAGTTAAAGGTACACTATGCAGGATTTTTGCAGTAAAATATCCCAAAATCACTAGGACAATGTTATATATTTTGTTTAGTTGATTACTTACAAAATCCCAAATGTTTTCAACTATTTGTAAATCGTGAGAAAATTGCGATTTTAACCAAGGAAACGGGGCGTGCGAGCAGGAGTTGCCAGTCAATGGCGTCATATCCGCCAGTGGAGATTTCTTTAAGACTGCAAGGGAAGCCCAGCTTCCCCTATAATGTCAAACAAATAATGATCAAATGTGTACTATTGTGTTAACATTTTAATGAGTAAAAATGCGTTAGAACACGGTAATCTCGAAGACGATTTCGTTCAGAATAAGCAACAAATAGCAGGTCGGCTGACTTGATCTCCTTCTCATGCAGCGCCTCCTGTAGCGCGTCACAGTGCATGCGTTTTCCTATGGCATTTCCCCGTTGAAGCTCGGCGTCCATTGACTTCAATGGGGCTGCTTTGAACAGTTTTTTTCAGTGCTGTTAAAGTAGACGGTCATTGGATAAATGCTGCGATTATGTCCCGCCCACGGACGCCGGGCATCTCTGGGGTTAATAGGGAAGTGGGCTGGCCTGGCGTCCGGGCGTCCGCGTGATGATTGGAGGATTGCATCTCCTTTTGATTGACAGTGATTTCACCCAATAAAAAAATCGCTGACGCGGAAGCTAGTTTAAAGACTTCGTGCTCAGTCTCGTCGCGAATTTTGTGTGTATTTTACTCGAAAGACGAACTACTGTAACATATTTCTTAGTATTTGCAATTTTCATCAGATATTTCACAGTTCAACCTAATTCCCACATTTCTTCCGTCGATGTCAGGTGTCTTGTTACATGTGCGGGCGTGGTGTTTGAATCACGGCACATCTGTCTAGTTTGGTTTCACTTTTGTGTTGGGATTCGGACATGCATTCTCCGCGTGTTTGTTTTCGGTTGTGAGTGCACAGGATGACCTTATGGTCGTACTCATGCGTAACGTTAGCGTTCTGTCTTGTCGTGTTCGCTCTGTTCAGTGTGTTGTGTATTGTGTAGCACATGGTTTGTGTTTACATCGGCCGCGTGCTTTCATGTTTTGTCTTGTGCTGTGTAGCACACAGCTTGTGTTTTAAACTAGCTGTGTGCTTTCATGTTGTCATGTTCTGTGTGAACACGTGTCTTATGAGTGTTCTCATCGTTCTTCAGGTCTCATTTTGTGTGAGCACAATTGCTTTTTAATTTGTTTTATTGGTCATGTGTTTTTGTCATGTTTGGTATGAGCACATGGCTTGTGCTTGTCATGTGTTTGTTGTGCCATATGTGCTTTCCTGTCATTGTGACTCCCATCTTGTTTTCTGATTATTAGTTATTTTGCCCCACCTGTCCTCCCTCGTTACCTGCCTTTTTTGCTCCCAATTTATTCCCCTTGTTTTTTGTTGTTGTTTTTATCAATAAAATAAAGCCCATCGAGTCCTCGCTCTTTTCACCATCCCCACACCTGACAGTCGAGTTTAAAAAAAAAGAAGAAGAAAAAAGAAGAGCTTCCCCTCTTTGAAAGACCAGCAGCCGCCACTGATATCCGCGTTACCCCCGGTTTCCGCCAGGTTTGACCTCGTATGACAAAATTAACCATGGCGAGAGACGTTGAAAACTGGGTCGGTTATGCCCGTTATGACTAGAAGGACGCTCACTCTGTTGTTGTTTTATGGCAAGCAGACTTTGAGACAAACAGAGGACTAAAACGAAGATCAACATCTTTCGAGAAGCCGAGAGCTCCACTTCGACACCGAGAGCGTCTCCGTCTAAGTCGAAGTTAGTCTTAGAGAGACTAACTTCAACTTAGACAGAGACACGAGTGTTGCATGTTATTTTATTAAACAGGTGAGCAATAAATACAGCTCATGTATACAGTCTTAAACAGCCAACAACAACCTAGCTAACAACATTCAACACAAACCCTGTTAAAGTTCCTGTAAAGGCAATTCTACAAAAAGTTCTAAACACATTATAAATGTTACATATGTATTGTTAAAACATATTACAAAGACTGTGAACTGTGAAGTACTGAAATGTGCAGTTAGACCGTTAAACAATTTTTCACCATTGCAATTTTACGGATTGTTTGGGCGGAGCTAAAACAGGGCTCGATGACGCACTGGAGCCCAAGAGCTCGTGGACACGCCCCTATTTGATGACGCACAGAATCTGATCTCTCCCCTTACACACAATAACACTCCCCGAGCACATTCGCATTCACCGCTCAATCGAATGCGAATGAGGTTTTTAGAGAGCCAACCTTGATGAAGAGCTGAGGATCACCGCCAACACCCGCCTCTGTAGTGATCATTTTACACTGGATTGTTTTATAAACTTTCCTCAGAGACAACTGGGATTCACTGATAATCCGCTGTTACTGGTGAACGGGGCCGAAACGACTATCTCCCGCCTCAGCGTTAATTCTCCCGTCCCGAAAGCAGTATCTGCTAATATCACCATCGACACTAGCTTTCCCGCGAGTGGGCGTGGTTTCCACGCAGCCAGCGGACACGCCCCCAGCATTTGAGAACAGAGATAACTGCTCATTTTTTCAAGATTTTGATAGCTTACTGTTTTTTATGTACTTGCCGGCTTTTTTATCATTCAAATTTGGCTGGGTGGCTAAAAACACATTTTTCTGTGGTGTGACAAACTCAGAACACATACTTAATTTTGACTTTACAGGGATTTTAAATGTGTTAGTGTAACTGTTAGAGCAAGTGAAGCAGCGCTGCGATACCTCAAGTTTAATTTGTCTAATAAACTGACCTGTGTGAGTAATTTAGCATTTGCGTATAGTTCGGTAGAATGAAATGTCCTTATTCCTTTATTTCCGCGGGACTCGCGTTGCGTGTGGTGCTGGCAGGGTTGTAGTCGAGACCACCACCTCACTCGAGTCCGAGTCGACACCGAGACCAGAGAGAGTCGAGTCCGAGTCGAGTCCGAGACCAGTGAGGGTTGATTACCTAATTTACTTTTATTTACTTAGAGAAATGTTTTTATTTTTTACTGAATTTACTTAGAGTTTAAAAAATATGATCAGTTTAGGGTAAAAAGGCCACATAGTAGGTGGTGTTAAAAGTAATTTTATTACAATTTGTCATGCGCAGTTGCGCACTAGAAAATCACCAATCACTGGGCGTGTCAATCAATTTAAAGAAATATTTTATTAACATACATTAATAATCATGAAAAATATTTTTAATTGAACTGGAGTGGACTCGGGAATAATTCCGAGTCCTAAAAAAAAAAAATGTTCGAGTACGAGTCAATTCCGAGTCCAAATGGACACGAGTCCATGACAAGACCAAGACCATTAAAATATGGTCTCGAGACCGAGTCCGAGACGAGTCCGAGTCTCGAGTACTACAACACTGGGTGCTGGTATACGTCTAGCAATGGCGCACTGCTTTCTACTACTACAGTCAAGTTTAAAAACATCAATGTGTTCACTCATCCATGAAAGATCCATCAGCTTGACGTCAAGATCCATAATTCCGCTTAATGCAGAATATACGTCATCAATATACGCCTTCGTTATTGTAAGGGGATAGTGACCCCTGGTGGCGAAAAAATCTTGCACATTGTATCTCTAATGAGAGACATGTGAATGTGAATGATAATGGATGAAATGTCTGGGTAGTGAGTTATGGGAGATGTAGTTTGTGAGGGGATGATAATAGTCTGATGTGGAGTGCCCTCTGGTGGTTCTCAAGGGCACATCAGCTGGTTGACCGTTACAGTTATAATGGAAAATGACTGAAGTCTGTCAAACTGTGGTCGCGGTGAATGATTGCTGAAATGAGCAATCACACTAACTGTTGTATGACCGCAAGGATAGAACCAATCTTCTGTCCCCCCAGGTGCTGGGAACCCAGATTATTGAGAGAGACAACCTTGCTGCAGGGACCACTTTTGCAGTGAAGAGCTTGGATCACAAGAACAGAATGGGTATCGGAGATCTCAGAGGCAGAGTGGCAAGGTCACAATTTACACCAAGATTGCATTCATATATTTACAGAGAGAGATCCAACATTTTTAGATCACTAGTGCAAATTATTTATTTTATTGTTTTCATTTATTTTTTATAGATATATTTTCAAATTAATATGAATTTCATAATTTTATTTTCCCTTTAAGTTCTCTGAAGACTATTTCACTATTGGTGCAATTCATGATTGATTGTGATTGTGTTGCTAATGACCTTTTAACAACATGGTTGAAAATGAGATGTTAATTTGTGTAAGAGAAATGCATATTTCCAAACGTCCAGCTCAATGGTTTTATTAGACAAATGTTTTCTTGGCATTTGTGTATTCGAAAAAGCCTAATATATCTATGAAATGAATGTGGAAATAGAAAGAGTGCAGAGGGTGAGTGGTGCCTTACAGGCATAGGCACAGTAGACTGAGCTTGATGAGATGAAATGAGATGTTTGCTGACTGCACGACCTATGATTCCTCTCTTACAATAAGCCATACAACCCTTCACACATTAACAGTAATGTATTCATTTGTTCATCAATGTGGAATGAAAGACATCTTAATTACTCTTGCCTGCAGTGCACAAACAAGATTTGTGGCCAATCAGATTATTTCCCCATTTGCCCGCTTCTTAGTCATTGTTGCAGTGGCAGATGCTGCCATGCACTTTTAGGAGGCAAAAGATAAAATGTGAATTATTATGTCTTATTTTATATGATATTTATTTAAGGTAAAACTGCAATCTGCATAGTTCAATAATTGCTACATTATTGTATTGTATTTATGGAAATGAATGGGAAAATGTATATTACTTTCAGAATTCCTTAGTAATAAGTAAGTCTCCTTAGTTTTAAAACCTCAAATTTCAGTCTACAATATATACACTACCGGTCAAAAGTTTTAGATCAGTAAGATTTTTTATGTTTTTAAATGAAGTCTCTTCTGCTCACCAAGGCAAAATAAATGACAAACAGTAATATTGTGAAATATTATGACAATTTAAAATGACTGTTTTCTATTTTAATATATTTTAAACTGTAATTTGAAAGCTGAATTTTCAACATCATTACTGTTGCTGATTACACATCAGTTTTCAGTGTCACATGATCCTTCAGAAATCATTCTAATATGCTGATTTTATGCTCAAAAAACATAAATTAATATTTTCATGTTAAAAACAGTTGTGTACCATTTTTTCCCCAAAATTCTATGATGAACAGAAAGTTCAAAAGAACAGCATTTATTTAAAATATAATCTTTTCTAACATTATAAATGTCTTTACTGTAACTTTTGACCAATGTTCTTCAGATATAACTCATCAACCTTTTTATTAGGTACTCCTGCTCATTTGCTTGTTAACGCAAATATCTAATCAGCCAATCACATGGCAATTTAGGCATGGCATTTGCTTTGCTTAGCTGACTTGCTTAGCAAACTTGTTGCCTCGCCTTTAGATAATGACTTTGTTTACACATGAAAATACCTTATAAAACTGATTTTGGATAGACAGTTCTTTGGGCGAAAATGCCTTGTTAATGACAGAGGTCAGAAGCTAGAATGGTTCAAGCTGACAGAAAGGCAATAGTTACTCAAATGTTTCCAGTACCTTGTAGAATCTAAGCAATATAGAATAAAGGCAGTTCTGAAGGCAAAAGTAAGTCCAACCCTGTATAACAGGTGTACCTATTGAAGTGGCTGGTGAGGGTCTCAGTAAAACCAACCCTCAGGAACAGATGAAAAACTTATTGTTGTCTGAATTTCCTTTTGCCTTAGATGTGATGCTAGCATTGCTAAACTGTCATCTGATGTTGTGACTGGAGGGCGGGACATTCTGAAACTCCAACAGGAAGTGAGTGAGTTACGCTCTGTGCTGGAGCTGAAGCTGAGAGACATGGAGCTCAAGGTGAGACTTTAATGACAAGGCCATTAAAGAGCATGTGATAGCTTAGATTAAATTACCAAAATGTATTCACTCAAAGGTATTCCTTTTAACATATACATTGTGCAAAACACATGCATTTTTAAAGGGGTAGTTCACCCAAAAATGAAAATTAAGTCATTAATTACTCACCGAACTGAACTGAAGTTGAGTTGAAGAAGATCGCAATTCTCGCGCATGCGTTGTGGAAATCTCTCGAACTCTCGTCTCAGGCCAAGAAGGAAGAAAAGGAATAGTCGAACAAAGCCGTTATTTTTGTTTTATTTCTACACAAAAAGTATTCTTGTCGCTTGATAAATTTATAGTTGAGCCACTGTAGTCACATGGAATATTTAAACATTTTATTCAATGACTTTCTGGGCCGTCAAGTTTCGCTTCCCTTAGGCAGCCTATGTAGCAGTGACCCACCTCTCAAATTTAATAAAAAATATCTTCATTTATGTTCCGAAGATGAACAAAGGTCTTACGGGGTTGGTACAGCATCGGGGTGAGTAAATAATGACTTAATTTTCATTTTTGGGTGAAATAACCCTTTAATTCTCCTTCAATGACACCATGGTACTACATAGTACTGTGTCACCATGATAAATATTTAAAAAAAATATATATGGTAATACCATCATATCAAACATGTAACATTCTCAGATCTTTGGCCAGCCTTCTAACAAGGTTCTCCCAATGTTGTGAACTTCTTCAAGTTAATCGAACTAATAGAATGTTCATTTTTCAGTTCAGTTTTCTGGTCTTTAATGTTTTTTTGTTGTTTTTTTAATCTTACTACTAGTTTCAGAATGTTCAGAAAACCATAATTTTTGCAAATTGATAAAAATGGAATGTTCCCTTAACCTTGACAAAACAACAACAAACAAGTTTTTAAAAAAAAATATGTTTTGACATTCAGAAATAACATTAGCATAACATTAGCATGTTCTTACACTGTAAAAAAATATTGTTGGTTTAACTTAAAAAAGTAAGTAACCTGGTTGCCTTCAAATTTTAAGTTGATTGAACTGGAAAAAGTGAGTTAATACAATGAAGGAGATTAATTTAATTATCAGAAACTCAAAATAATAAGTTATCTGAACTAAATAAATTATTTAAGTTGATTTGACAAAAGAAAAAATGTTGTGATAACAAATCTTGAAAATATTTTTTTTTTACAGTGTAGAACATATTTTTGTCAGCTGGGACGGTTCTTATATTTGGTGTGTCTACATTTGTTTTCCTCAACTGGTATAAATAAATGTTGTGACCAAGCCAGTATGTGCATTAGTTGTGAAATTGATTCAGCTTTGGCCCACACCCTGTCTTACACTGGGGGAAATGCAGCGTTGTCATCCATATAAATTGTCCCTGCATGGTGACTGTGTGATAACCGTAAATCTCAGTGATTGCAGTGCATTAGCTCTGGGTAGTGGTCACCATAAAGGTAATTGAAAATAAGGGGACGAGGACAGCCGTAAAATACACACCAGCTTGCTATATGTGCTGATGTCAAACGTGCCAATACACATTCTTTGTTAACCAACTTACATTTGTTTGAAAAAAAAGTATATATATATATATATACATACACACACACACACAAACACACACATTTTTTTTTGATAGCTGGTTTAGGAATGCTACATTTGGGGATAATCTGCCCAATGTTATTGATTCAGCTCAGTTTGAGAGTTTGGACCATTAGAAGGACAATGAAAACTATGTGAAGTGAGTGTGATGAGAAGTACGGTTTATAATGTTTTTGTCATTTGCTAGCTGTCTCGTGATGTAGGAAAACTACAGATGTCGATGTCAGAGAAGTTCATCTCTCAGAAAAATGCCATTGGAGATTTACAGAAGGAGATACAACAACTGGATGTAAAGTAAGAGCAACTATAATCACTTCTCAATACTCAGTTGAGTTTATTTTAAGAGTTCCTGAATAAATATAAATGATATATTTATATATAAATGATACTATATATAACAATATTGCCTAATTATTAAATAGCTACAATAAAATATTGAAAGGATATATATATATATATATATATATATATATATAATTATGCTTTTTGTCTTTACACGAGTCATTGAATCATTCACTCAACCATTGTCAGTGTTAATGCCAAACTCTATTGACAATGAATGCACAGCATAATACAAAATTCTAATTATTTACAGCAAAACAAGATAGCATTGTTTTGTGTGTGTGTGTGTGTTCAGTGTTTGGCGATTTGAATTGGCGGAATGTCTGGATGAAAGTAGAAAACTCTTTCAAACTAAAATAATATACCTTTTTAAATGGCAAGATATGACATGTTATTTAAAAACAACAACAAAACAGACTGTAAAGATATACTTCCATGTGAATGTTTTTTATGAAGGAAAAATAAATAAATAAAAGTAGAAATGTGGAAATATATAAATAAATAAATGTAGAAATATATATGAAGAGTTCAGATGCAAAAGCCTCTAAATGCCATTTGAAATTTTCTTCTTTAATGATGATTTTTATCAAACTTGTATATTTAAGTTCAGTAATTTCACTTAAACAACAATTAATAGGTAATTATCATTGCCATTTAAGTGAAATCACTGAACTTAAATATACAAGCTTGATAAAAATGATCATTCTAGAAGAAAATTTCAAATGGCATTTAGAGGCTTTTGCATGTGAACTCTTCATATATATATATATATATATATATGCATAAATGTATAAATACATAAATAAATACGTGTAAAAATACAGAAATAGCCATTTATATTACTAAAATGTATTTATTTTCACTATATTTCTTCATTTATTAATTTATTTATACTTTTATTTATTTATTTTTCATTTTGTCATTTTTAGTCCTTTTTTGTATTCTGTGATAAAAGATTCAATCAAATAAAAAAAAAATTTAAAAAAAAGAGAAGAGAATAAGGCCAAACAAAATCGATTCTTGCATGTCTCTTACCCGAATGTGGCATGCCAAGTTGGAATGTGCTAAAGCATGAATTTTAATTTATTTGTTTTTTGCTTTGCAGAAATGTTTTCAGTGTGGTTTGGGCTGCTGGAGTGCAAAGATTTAATTGATTAAAGAAGCAAGTAATCAGACCTGTTGCAGAAATCCATTTGATTTTAGGCCCCTTGTTTCCTTTAATAAAATGTTGCACGTGAAGGGCACTCGTGAAGGTATTGACAGCCCTGACATTTGTTATTGCAATGCTTTACCACCGGCCCACTTTATCGAATCCGCTGTCAGGGGGATTTGTTCTATTGAGACTGATGGAAATAGGGAACTAGTAATGTCCCAGTGACTCACCGGATACGCCTCCAAATAGTGCCAATGCTGTGTGTGGCCGCATGAGCATCCTGGCATGTGCAAGGTGATGCTCTCCATTTCTTTGACAATTTTTTGCTCCAGTCTGCAGTGTGGAGGACAGATGGCAGCTGAAATGGAGCCTTGCCCATGATGCCCATGGTGTGACAGAATCAAAGCAATTGGCTGCCTATGCCTGGGCTGTTATGTAATAGTGATGAGTCAAGACAGCTTACAGTGACTCATGAAGAGAAGCATATGGGCCAAAGAAAAATAAACACTATGAGAAAGACAGGAGCTATAGCACGAGCCCAAATGTGATGTCTATTAGACACAATGACACAAATACCTTTTAGAAGATATGACATGCTATTTAAAAACAAAAACATCCACCACAACATATCTGTAGGCTATTTCAAATGTATAGGCCATTTAAAGGCCCAGCATTAGCTAAGTACACTGTAAAAAAATATTGTTGGTTTAACTTAAAAAATGTAAGTAATCTGGTTGCCTTAAAATTTTAAGTTGATTGAACTGGAAAAAAATGAGTTAATAGAATGAAGGAGATTGATTTAATCATCAGAAACTCAAAATAATAAGTTATCTGAACTAAATAAATTATTAAAGTTGATTTGACAAAAGAAAAAATGTTGTGATAACAAATCTTAGTAACCAAACTCCATCGCACACCTGCAGGTGCGTCGGATTATAAAACCAGACTAGCTAGTCGTAGCAGATAAGAAACTCCCGCACACTATCGTTACTTGCAATTTAAAATTAATGTTTATTCACACACAACGTTTCGGTCACACGATCGAAAGATTTGATGAGAACAAATCTTGAAAATATTTTTTTACAGTGCACAAACTATTGTTTTGGATTAGACTAATTGCAATCAATGATACAAAACACAGATGCAAAGTTTGAGTCTTGAATCCACTCCAAAATTAGTTATTCTGCACTGTTTCTGAATTCTCCAAAACGCCTGGGCTGTGTCTGAAAATCGCCATCTAGACACTAATTGAGGGTCATTATGGAGTGCACTCAGTCTCATTCAATCAATGCACCATAATAAAAGGTGTACAACAGGGTGCTTCCCATTTCTTATTTGTGCATCCTCATTTCCTTTCCTCGCACCTCAGCTTCGTCCCCAGGATGTGGGGGAAGGCTGCAATTAAAGAAGATGAGGATGGAGGAATCGATGAAAAGCTTATTTGTATATTGGAATTCTTGATCACTCGAGTGTCACTTCAAAGCGTCATCTGCAGCTCTCAAAGGATCTGCCCTTATGCTGTTCAAGTTTGATAAAGACATTAATAAATAATAAAAAATAAAGCAAGATGCCCTGTTGACATATATGGTTTCTTTAAACTGCAAAGGTAAAGCATCCATTTAAATTATTGTGACAGATTTGAAGGGGGAGAATTTATACGTGCGTCAGGTTTCTCAACAAGAAAGACCTGTGCATTTTCACTCAATGCTCCTCTGGAAGGTTCCTCACTCCTCATTCCTCGCCTCCTCGTTGTGCAGTTAAGAGAATTGAGATGTTCTTCAAGATGGCTGAATTCAGTCAGTTTCCTGGTCACGGGCTGGAGGACGGAGGAACGAGGAAACAAGGAAGCATCAACTTGAGTATTGAGAAGCACCTCCAATGTACATTCAGTGTTAGAGAATACCCTTAATGCACTGTGAGGTATAGTGATGAATGAATTCCCGCGTCTGGCCAGAAGATAGCACCTGCAGCTGAATCATTCATCCATTCATTTCCCAAACACCAATGTAGGTAAAGCACTTGATTGAAGTCTCAGACAGATCTCATGAAGTAGCGTGTGTATGACACGCCAATTCGTATTTCCATTTTTGGCGTGCTATCAAGATGAATAATCGCCTTTCAGCGTGTTTATGAACGCCGTTGACTTAACGTTATATAAATATATGACTTACCTCAACCCCGTCCCTAAACCTAACCGTCACTGGGGTTAATGGCATTTATGACTGTTCCCTTACCATCCTAGGTAAAAAAAAGATATGACTTACCTCAACCCCATCCCTAAACTTAACCGTCACTGGGGTTAATGGCATTTATGACTGGAGATTTGACGGCGTGTACAGACACGCGGAATGACGTGGACGTTAATGGCGTAGACATATACGCATACACGCGGATAGACGCGGATAGCACAAAATGCGTGGAGATAACACGCCACCTGACTCGAAAGTGGCGTATATGTTTACGCAAAAGTCATGATGTCATGTTGGAAGTCTTGAGTTTTCTTCCAGGTACATACAGTACGTCACAATATTTCTCATTTAAATAATTCCTGCCCACGGCATACTCAAAAAAAGAAAAAGAGGGGGGTAATGCCTGGCTGAGTAGTGTTGTGTTGAAACTGGTGGAAACTCGTGGTTTTGGTAAGGGGTGTGACATTCCGAAACATGTTCAAAACGGTTAACCAATCTCAACACTATGATTCATCCGATCAATCAGAGCAAATTGTGGTTTTCAAAACGAGGAGCTTCACACAGACAGGAAATAGCCTAATCAGAATCTTACTTATAGGCTGGGTGTTAGGTGCTGTAACTATGAAAAATAATGTTTTTTGAACATTAAAGCATGAAAACCTATTCTAGTAGAGCCCAAAAACAAAATCAAGACTTTGTAAAAGGACATAATATGGCCTCTTTTACATGATAATCAGAATACCTTTACTACAATGGGAGAATATTGTAACTGTAGCATGTATGTCTGTATGTTTATGCAGAACCTCTAGAGGTTTGATGGAGATGGAGGAGCAGACAGTGAGACTGAGGAAGTGGACAGAGGAACAGATGAAAACCACAGTTCAATCACACACAGAGAGCAGCCAGCTGTACACACTGCTGCAGGACAGAGTGGTAAACATGTGAATGGGTCTCAAACTCAAAATCTATATATATGCACTCACCTAAATGATTATTAGGAACACCTGTTCAATTTCTCACTAATGCAAATATCTAATCAACCAATCACATGGAAGTTGCTTCGATGCATTTAGGGGTGTGGTCCTGGTCAAGACAATATCTTGAACTCCAAACTGAATGTCAGAATGGGAAAGAAAGGTGATTTAAGCAATTTTGAGCATAGCATGGTTGACAATCTGCACAATCTTCTCAGTTACTGGGATTTTCACGCACAACCATTTCTAGGGTTTACAAAGAATGGTGTGAAAAGGGAAAAACATCCAGTATGCGGCAGTCCTGTGGATGAAAATGCCTTGTTGATGCTAGAGGTCAGAGGAGAATGGGCCGACTGATTCAAGCTAATAGAAGAGCAACTTTGACTGAAATTACTACTCATTACAACAGAGGTATGCAGCAAAGTATTTGTGAAGCCACAACACGCACAACTTTGAGGCAAATGGGCTACAACAGTAGAAGACCCCACCGGGTACCACTCATCTCCACTACAAATAGGAAAAAGAGGCTACAATTTGCAAGAGTTCACCAAAATTGGACAGTTGAAGACTGGAAAAATGTTGCCTGGTCTGATGAGTTTCTGTTGAGACATTCAGATGGTAGAGTCAGAATTTGGCGTAAACAGGATGAAAACATGGATCCATCATGCCTTGTTACCACTGTGCAGGCTGGTGGTGGTGGTGTAATGGTGTGGGGAATGTTTTCTTGGCACACTTTAGGCCCCTTCAACATGACATCATGACTTTTGTGTAAACATGCATGCTACTTTCAAGTCAAGTGGCGTGTTATCTATAAGCATTTTGAGCTATCCGTTTATATGCGTTTATGTTTATGCCGTTAAATGTCCGAGAGAAACGAAGCAAAATGTAGATCTACATCTGGGGAGTGATATTTTTTTTTTCCTTGGATGGTAGGGGAAGACTCAATGTTATTAACCCTAGTGACAGGTAGGTTAAGGGACGGGGTTTGGGGTAGGTCATATATTTATATATACAGTAATGTAACATTAAGTCAACGGCGTTCATAAACACGCTGGAAAGCGATTATGCGCGTTTATAGCACACCAAAACTGGAAATATGAATTGGTGGGTCATACATACGCCATTTCATGAGATCAGTCTGGCCCCTTAGTGCCAATTGGGCATCGTTTAAATGCCACGGCCTACCTGAACATTGTTTCTGACCAAGTCCATCCCTTTATGCCCACCATGTACCCATGCTCTGATGGCTGCTTCCAGCAGGATAAAGCACCATGTCACAAAAATGCGAATCATTTCAAATTGGTTTCTTGAACATCACAATGAGTTCACTGTACTAAAATGGCCCCCACAGTCACCAGATCTCAACCCAATAGAGCATCTTTGGGATGTGGTGGAACGGGAGATCCGTGTCCTGGATGTGCATGCCACAAATCTCCATCTACTGCAAGATGCTATCAATATGGGCCAACATTTCTAAAGAATGCTTTAAGCACCTTGTTGAATCAATGCCACGTAGAATTAAGGCAGTTCTGAAGGCGAAAGGGTTAATACAGTTAATATGGCGTTCCTAATAATCATTTATGTGAGTGTGTGAGTGTGTATGTATGTATGTATATATATATATATATACAGTGTATATGATACCTGTGCAAAATTTGCTCTTAGCTGGAAGTGGAACGCAGTCTAAAGGAGAAAATGATTCTTATTTCTGGGCAACTGGAAAGGTTGGAGGTACAACTAAAGAAGGTGCGTTCAGCTCACAGGACCACGCATTCAGAGAGCAAACTCGACAGCATGATCAACACTTTGGAGAAGAGCTTTAGAGAAGAGTTAGAGCAGATGAGGAGTGAGTACCAGTCAGGTGAGGCTCACATAAGAGGATGAAATAAACCCACATGCACAATAAACTCTTTCTACATTAATCTGTATCCTACAATGCTGTTCAAAAGTCAGGAGACAGTAAGATTTAGTAATGTTTTTGAAAGAGGTCTATTATGAAACAGACAAAATAAAATCTGGTCTGCTTAGAAATTCCATATCTCTTGCTAGGAAAAAAAAAATGATAATCTGATGCACACTTCAGATTCTAATTATTACAATATTATATGTTATATTCTGGAACTGGCCAATTCATATAGAAAACTTAGTCAATTATAATTTAATAAAAACAGTATTATTGTGAACTATTATTACAATTTTAAAATAACCGTATTCTATTCTATTATATTTTAAAATATAATTTATTCCTGTGATGACAAAGCTGAATTTTCAGCATCATTACTCCAGTCTACAATATAGGCATTTTTACTGACATGCAATACCAGCCAAGTGGCCCAATTTACCTCTCCTTTGGCTATTTGCTTGAGAAAATCAAAGTGAAAATAGAAAGCATGACTCAAATTCAGACTGAATCAGTCTTTTGGTATTACTTGTACATGCCAGTCTGCTAAACTAAGCCTGCAGGGTATATTTGACCCTAGCATATTTGATATTTAGTTTATCTACATTTCCTTCCAACTACCCATTTTCAAAAATGTTACTGATTGACAGACTATGTAGACTATTTCCAGGCATTCTGTACAAAAGACCCAAGTAACCCTCAATAAACAAACCCAGCAAAGAAAAGCCTTAAAAGGTATAGGATATAACTTCCGCTCTTAAATTTTCTTTGGGATTCCAATGATGGACTGAGGCAGTTGATGCATTATAGATGACACATCTATCACACACCTCTGCCACAGAGTCAATGCTCTAACAAGTGATCTCCTCTATTTCATTTACCAGGGTTTCAGGTAGTTCATGATGCCATTGCATCTCTGAGACACATCGGTGACACCAAAGCCAAGCTGGACAAAGGAGAGCTGCAAAGACACATAAAACAGATCCAGAGAAACATGGTGGAACTAAAGGAGCTCTGAATATTTTTTTTTACATTTATGCTGGAGTATATAACCGGTGTGTGATCACAAAGTATGATTCAGATGAATGTTGGTGGGCAGATGGACAATACAATCAAATAAGCTGTACATTTGTTTCCTAGATTGAAAAAAAGGAGGATTTAGCCAGTCTCCATGAGGTAATTTCCAGTAAATCTCTTTAGATCAGACTTTAAATCGAGATTCTGAATGAAAAATCATGGTAGATGAAATTCAAACAAGGTACAATTATGGAAAACCAGAGATTAAATGCTCAATACCCATGTAGCTCAATACTAAAAGATTAGGAAGATGACCAGTTCTGCGTTTGTTTGCACATCCGCAGGCCAGTATTGATTGTAACGGATGCTGGAATAAACAAACAAGATCTCTTTGTTTTCATTTAAATCTTCCAAGCCTCCAATACATACTTGCAAAGCATTAATATACCCAACACAATTAACCATTTTTGGTATTTCCCGCTTCATGTTTATGATTTCATATTTTAGAGATGCAATGGCTTTTTGTAGGTCAATTCTGCATAGATGGAAATGACAGTGGGGTCAGAGGTCCAAACAGAGGTCCATTCATTCTTTTAGTGTCTCTGTAGGGCAATGATAACTGTAGACAGATGTGCCTAATAGTGGCTACAATAAGCAATGGCCGTTTTCAGGCTCCTGCAGAGATTAACCATGATAGAAGTGCTTTTAAGTTACATAATGGGAATAATATTTTAGTCAGCCGAGGCTTGTAGCAATGATAATTATGTAGAATGTCAAGCTCTGGAAGGAAGGCACAGAAAATACAATGAATCAATGCCATTTTTCAAGCATCATCATCACCCATTTGAATGTGATCCAATGAGCAGTTAAGTTACACCAGAAACAGCTAATTAAAGAGCCATTCATTTAGATGAAGTGTCTTTTTGGATTCATTCACACACAATTTAACATTGCAGTGATATGTATAAATAATAAAATGTCCTTGATGATGTAAAGACCGAGATTTGTAAACGCATTGATCAGTGAGTAAACTGCTGAGTGTGTAGGAGATAAAAGAGAAAAACTGGCCCTGCTATTGACGGTTCAATGGCGAAGTTAGTCTCCTGAGAAATCTGAGGATGGTTTCCTGTCTCAGCTGGATGGGTAAAGGCGTCTGTGGAAATCCACCAGTCTGCTGTCTCCTGCTGCAGTAGCCTTCAACAACAGGGTCTACAAGACAGAAACACAAAGGAAGACTCAATGCCATTCTTAAACACAAAGCTCTTTCATTCATCTCATTAATTGCATTAGGTGGCCGAAAGATACCGTTTAACCAATTACAATAACCGTTGTAGCAATTACAAATTATAATCGAATAAATGGATAATGAAAAACTACATTAGGTTAAATAGATATTCAAAACTGAATTTAACAAGCTTGATTAGATTACAATTGACTCAGCCGGAGTAACTCATTTGTTTTCAAGTAGAGAGAGTGGATGGAACTGCTCACATCAATCAGCTCCAGGTCATCTTTGGCGTGCAGGTGACGCAGGAGGTACCAACATGCCACCGACGCTATAGTTTCAGAGCTGCCTGAGGCTGAACCATAAACAATCCTCTCCAACAGGCGACGGGTTTCCCTGCGAAAGAGCCAACCATGATCAAATTTAAACCTGATCCAATTTAAACTGAATAAAGGAGATAGGTTTCATATTAAAATAGACTACAATGCAATGCCAAGATGAGGCAAACAATGAAATACAAAGGTGCGGCACAGAACAGGTCAGACTGATCTGACATGTTGATTGAATATAGGGTGACATCACATTTATTGTCCACACAAAAACTCTATGTAAGGCCCTACCTGGAGCCCATTTTTATGGAGAACTGCAGTAAGGCTTGGAAGAGCAAAGCTACTGGTGAGTTGCCCATTTTTAAGACTTCAGCACTGGCTTCCAACACCAGATCCTTCCACTCAGAGACAGAGACACCAGCCTGTAGTCAGAAGTACAATTAGATATATTTACGTATTGTAGTATTTACTTGCACTGTAAAATGTTTCGGTCAATAAACAGACTGGAATAGAATTGGTCATTAAAAACAAGGATTTTAGATGCATTTTAGCTGGCAAAGTTCAGACTAATATATGACCGGAGTTGGGATACGCTGAAGGCTGACACACTTTAATTAAAAGTAATGAAAAGCCGGCCACAAAGTGTCTAATTCAATTTAACAAGCAAAGCTGCAGTCAGCTAAAATGAAGGCATTAAGCTGACAGTTAGAAATGGAGGGGAAGACAAAAAGCCAATGAGAGAGAGAGAGAGAGAGGAAGCAGAAGGAAAGAGGAAAAATGTGCAAGAAAGATGCCTGAAGGTGCTGCAACAGGCTTAGCCCAAAATAATAATGTCATTTTTTATTAGCGGTTAGTCACACAGACACATGCAGCTATTTTAAAATGTCACAAAGGAAAACAGCTGGAATATATTGCACAATGCATCCAAATGTATATACTAAAAAAATACAAATAATCAAATGTAAATACTTTTACTTAGCAGGAGTAAACTGATAAAAAGTGTTAAACTGTAAAAAAAGGCTTTCTATTTTAAATAAATGCTATTCATCAAATGAAAGAATCCTGAAAAAAGGGAGGATTCAATATTAAAGGAGAAGATCACTTTTAAAAAAAACTTTTGGTGATAATTTACTCACCCCCATGTCATCCAAGATATCCATGTCATTCTTTATTCAGTCGAAAAGAACTTCAAGGTCCAAAACTGTTCAAGGTCCAAAACTGTCTTTTGGACCTTGAACCGTTTGGTACCCACTAGAGCCAGACCGATATATATCGGCGGACCGATATTATCGGCCGATATTAGGCATTTTCCAAATTATCGGTATCGGCAGTTATAATGGCCGATAAATGATATTTCAAAAATAAAATAAAAACGGACGAAACACGCTTGAACCATGTCATGAGTGTTGGAGTTGTATAGTTTGTCCACCAGAGGGCACTCTACACCATCCCTGTTGGCAACACTCGTTGAGTTGGTCACGATACATACTGTACATTGCTTGAATAACAATTAAAAGAACATCCCCATAAGTTCTCTTAACTCAAATAAGCATGACACAATTTGTGACTATCATGTCCAGTTTTAAATAAATAAATAAAATATCAGCCGATATCGGAATATTGGATTTTAAAACCCAAAAATATTTGTTTCGCTATCGGCCTTCAAAATCCTTTATCGGTCGGGCTCTAGTACCCATTACCCAGTAAAGTCCATTATATGGAGAAAAATCCTGGAATGTTTTCATCAAAAACCTTAATTTCTTTTCAACTGAAGAAAGAAAGACATGGACATCTTGGATGACACGTTGGGTGAGTAAATTATCAGCAAAAGTTTTTTTTTAAAGGGAACTACTCCTTTAAGCAGCTTGAGCAAAAAATTGGCATATTAGAAATTATTTAAGAAAAACTACAATTATATTATTTAATTATTTTTTAAGTATTATTTAATTTTTCATGTTTACTTCCATGTTAATAGGGGAAAAAAAGGTCTCAGTCATTTAGTCTGCACTGTATATTGTACAAAGTGTCTGAGAAAACTGCATTTCCTCCAACATCCAAGTACAAGATGAATATGGTACTCACCAAACATGGCGTTAGTGCCAGCAGGGCTAGCCGGAGCAGGCTGCTCATCTTCCCGCCGTGGTCACCCAGCTGAGACGCCAGCTGAAGACTCCGTCTATAAGCCACAGAGGCCTGAGCCAGCAGACTCTGAGAGCGGTACACTTCTGCCAACCACTGAGAGACAGTGACATCAAGTCAACAACGCTCCAGTGCCACATGTGTAAACCTTGTTAAACCTCCTTCCTTTGCACAGTACACAAACATTTCACGTTTCATCGAAATGTCCTGCATGATTAAACCTTCATCCTTCCCTCGGCCTCGCACTTTGTAACATATCTTTACCTCGCGGGTCAAAATGACCTGAAGCCCTTTTTTTTTCTTATCCCGAAAGCTTATTTTATTTCATTTTGATAATATTTTTCTACTTTTTAATGCAATGTTTTTAGAGATTTTTTTTGTTATTTTTTATTTTATTTACCTTTTAATGACTAAATTTGATCAATAAATAAAAAGTAATTTAAGCACATTCCTCACATTCTTTCAACTTAAATTCAAAATTTCATGCATAACCCTTTCAATTCAGCTCAAAATATCTTACATTGGGTTTCTTTGCCGACCTCTTGTGGGAATAAAAATAATATAACATGAAATTTCACGACTCTTGCCACTAAATAGCTCTATATGGAGCAAATGAGCTGTTCTGCTGGGTCCTAAAGTCAGTTTATTCAGTATGCATTCAGATCAAGCGCAACAGTCTAAAAAAATGAAGCCGACCCGGAAGTGCGAAAAACTGCAATACATCGAAAATTCACTAGAGTGAGGTCCCAAAAGGGAGCAAATATCCATAGACCCCATGTTAAAACGTCCGTCTGTTCGCTCAAATTTTCCGGTAAGTGACATTCCACTACTATTTCACGTAGTTAGCACTATTTAGCATTAGGGGTGTCACGATTCTCCAAATCCTCGATTCGATTAAGTTATCGATTCTTAGGTCACGATTCGATTCGATTCTCGATTTTTAAAAAAATGTAAAGCGCAGATTGCTATGCAATTTTTAGACTACAAATTTATGCATTATGCAATATAAATTTGTTCACAATGTACACCACACCATTGCCAAATTTAAAATATAACAAAAACAAGTAACATCATAAATGTAACAATAACTTTATTAAGTCAATTGGAAACTTAAGAGAAACTAAATGGCAGGTTACTTTGCTTTTGTAACTGCAGTCTTCTCAGAATATGAGCTTTATGTTCACAATCACAACAAAACAAACAAAAGCAATAAAACAGCAATGTCCATAGACTCCACACTAGTCTTCTCTGAATAATTAAGCATCTTAAACTATTTCCGAACAGTTATATTCTGTTATAAAAAAAAAACATATACCACACAAATAACTACTTTTTATCCCCTGAGAATGATGACTGTATTTTTCATTATTTTATAATTTCATATTTCAGTTTCATATATGGGGCGAGTTTGAAGGACTGGATTTTGAATTTCCCAGTATAATGTGCTGTGACAGTCATGAAGCTCTGTGTTGCTCTGGAGGTCCAGCAATCTGTAGTCAAGGCCACTAA